AATAGCGCCTTTATTTGGAAGCCTGTCCGCGCTCCCTTAAATCGCGATGATGGCTGCTCACTACCTGATGCCTATTTGACCTCGTCCGAAAAAAGGGCAACTAATTAATGAGAATATAAAAGGACCTCTTCTTGCAGTGATTAGATCACCTCTGAAGAAGGCACTAGACATGAGTGTCGAAACGTTGGGTCTATGAATTGTAAGTTCTCGATTACATTCATTAAATCTTTCACCAAAGTAGGATCAAACCATGTCTGATTGTCCGCCTGGTTGCCTTTTGAACTTTAATATGGTGAAAGATTGCCCATTGTGAAGCTCGATTGGGTTCAACAGTTTCGTTACGATTGATATTGACACCTGTGATATATATATATATATTACCAAGTTAAAAACTTAGCTCGAAGTTGTTTCGTGAATTTATTCACCTCTAAGTAAGCTTTTTTCGCTAAAAAAGTTTGCCTTGGTATATACCTTTGGATATAATTTCGAATTTTCTTCGAAAAACAACAACTACCATGGTGAACCTATTAGGTACATACATTATATCTATTTAACTGATATAATATGTTTTTACCGATTATTCATCGAATTGGATATCTACTAAGCTGTCAAGCAGCATGGTCAATATCCACAATTTTCACTTACATCAAGACTATTGAATAACTGTTGTAGTATATACCACATACGTAGAAACCATAGAATCAATGTAGTTTTTTTCAATATACCGAAAAATGATCGCAAATTAAACCCTTGAAGCGTGATTCGTCTCTTCGGCTGCTCGAACAAGTTTGCTTGCTAATCACCTCCGAATTAACCCATGCGCAAAAAGCACATCTCCAAGATGTGGTATATGTATTAACGATCAATATTTACATGGGATGCCGTGTGAACTGTAATGCAAACTCGCGATTAATTACCAGTTTGCTTTTCTCAAAGGGAACTCAAATTCAAATACTTGAAAACCTGGAATGGGAATATTTCCCGCGAGCTACCTTCTCTCGAAGCAATTTCATTGGTGACTGAGAATACCTTTGTTCCGCCTTCACACGTTCTCAAAGCGTCAAGCCTTCAGCGCATCTCTGGTGTTACTTGG